CTTCTGGGTTCAGTCACATGCATGTGGGACGCCCAGCTGGTCTTCGTGCATGCATGCAACGGAACCCAGAAGTGCAGTGCATGGCCAGTGAAGACCAGCTGGCCGGCACGAATGTGCATGACAGAACCAGGAAGAGAGCAGCTGGCCATGCGCATGGACGCCATCACTAACTGCACTTCCAGGTCCTGTGGCACGCATGTGCAAAGACTAGCTGGTCTGGCACACATGCCCGTGTGGCCAGCCACTCTCTTCTGGGTTCAGTCACATGCATGTGGGACGCCCAGCTGGTCTTTGTGCATGCGTGCAACAGAACCCAGAAGTGCAGCTAGCAATGGTGTGCGGAGAGTGAAGACCAGCTCGCCAGTGTGCGTGTGTGCGACTGAACCCAGAAGAGAGTAGCTGGCCTGTACGCATGTGTACTGTGTTGGCACTTGGTGCAAAAAGGGTTACAAGAGAATGTGTATGTGCACACCGGAGCACTGAAACCCAGAAGAGAGCAGCTACCCAGTGCGCATGCAAGCAGCCAGCCGCTCTCTTCGGGGCTCCATTGAGCACATGCACGCTGGCCAACTGGTCTTCACTGACTGTGTGCCATTGCAAACTGCACTTCTGGGTTCCATCGCATGCATGCACAAAGACCAGGGGTGCATACGTGCAACAGCACCCAGAAGAGAGTGGCTGGCCACGTGTGCATGCGCACCGGACCAGCTGGTCTTTGCACATGTGCACAATGGAACCTGGAAGTGCAGCTGATGGCAATGCGCATACTCACAGAGAGGGCTCTGCGTGCCACCTCTGTCACACGTGCCATTGGTTCACCATCACTGGTCTAGTTTTTGAAAAAGATAAATAATATTTTTTGAATTGGTTTACGTGTACTGGTGGGATGAATTGGGTAAAACTAAATACAATAAGGAAACGGAACTAAGTATTTATGCCGTATTGTTTCTCTTTTCTTTTTCTTTTTGATGAATAGATCAAGTCCTGATTAACGGGGGGAAGCCAAGCAATCTGTCTCTCCTGCTGAGGAAGGCCGCAGCCTTGTTCATTAAACGTTTCCATCACACTCGACGCGATGTGAAAGGTTTCATAGCTCAAGTTATCCTTCCGGTGTTCTTCATGACAGCTGCTATGGGCCTCGGCACCTTGAGAACAGAGGAGGCAGAATACCCATCTCTCCATCTCACACCAGCCTTGTATGGTTCCTCCAGCCAGTCGGACTTCTTCGGGTGACTATTCATTTTTAGCTATTCAGTTAGCTTGATGGAATGTGGCGCACTTGGTGTAAGAGGGCTGAGCAAATTGTCACCAGTGTGACTACAATCATTATAATACTTTGTACGTCGGTATGAAATATGTTTAAAAAATGAAGGATAAGAGAAAGAAAAATATTTTTTCGTTAAATTCAGCAGTATCGTACTTTCTAGAGTTTTGAGAGTAAAGCAAATTATAAAGTTACGTCAGCTCTCTCAGATAAACCAGGTAAGAAACATGACTAAATGAATCAATTCTCCCCCCCCCCCTCGTAAGGCTGCCTTATCAGAAGTACAACGTTCCCAGGGCCATGTTTAATTGTTTGAAGAAGCATCAGGGTGGGAACTTCCTGAAGTTCTTTCTCTGACTGCTATGTCACTGGGGTTTCCTAATTGTTCCATAGGCAGCGTTTTTTCCTCTTGTTCCCCAATGTCATTCACACATTCAATTGCATTTTATAAGGTTTTTCAGTATAGTCCAAAAATTCAGTAAACAATCAAGGTATTCAATTAATTTGAGCAAATCTCATGTTTACCATTGTGTGCTGCTAAAATTCTAGTGTTTATTCATTTTTAACCTTCAGTTGGGTGAAACTGTGTCACAGGGCAACCATTTTTGAACCAAATATTACATTTTCAATCTAACTTACAGAATGCCAGAACACATTATTCCTACGGGAATGAAATACGAGGAATTTATCATATGATTGTCATTTCAGACACTCCCTGATTGCTTCTCACAAGTCAGTGGGGAAGCCAGGAGGAAGTATACATTTTATTGTGACTGCTGAGGCTCTTTGCCAGCTTTTCACAAGCAAACTGGAAGGGACTGTCAGCAATGGGGAAGCCAGCAGGGAAGGTTGCAAGGTGCTCAGTTAAGCCTCCCCCAACCATGCAGCTTCTCTCGTCTTGTGCGCTTGTACCACATCAGCCACTTTCACAGCTCTGTACACCTTTCCCAACCTCTACCCCCCCCCCAGGTAGTCTCCCTGACCTATGTGGTGCCTCTCATGCGTACCGTGAACCCTTCCCAACCCAATCTCTGCCCTTCCTGACCTGCACAGAACCTCTCACACTTCCTGCACACTTTCCTGATGAACACCACAGCCTCACACAACCTCCCTGGAAGGGCAGAAGCAGTTCTGCACATTTCAGGGATGATGTGTGGGATGCATGAAATATGTCACCTGGATTGGAGTGTGTGTATGCAGGGCAGTGGTGGGTTCCAGATCCCGTTCCAACCGGTACGGTTGGAACAGCCCCGGTGTCACGCAGGTGCTGTATGCGCCATCTGCGTGCGCAGAAGCACCAACAGCTTTAAAACACGATAAGTAGCTTGGGTGGGCGGGTGGGCCCTCCGGTGCTCCGGGCAGACTCCGTGCACAGGGATGCAAAGGGATGCATGATTGTCTGGTAAGGAAATACCTCTGAAATGCTGATCCTTGGATCACAAAGGAACTACTATCTCTTATATGTTCATGGAACCATTTATGACTTGTCTCGCAGCCGGGGCCGCTCTGGGCCGCCAGCCGCTGGCACGCGCTCCTGCGAGAGCCTCTGTGCAGCGCCGGGAGGCCGCGGAGAAGCTTTGCTCCGCTTCTCACCCAGCCTTCCCCCAGAGGCAATCCGGGACTTCCAGCGGCGGAGCTTGGAGAAGCAGCGGCCGCAGGCCAGGGTAGTGGGTGGCCGGCGGCATCGGGGGCGTCGGGGCACTTTGCATCGCGGGAGCCGCCAAATGCCTTTGCTGCAGACCCAGGTGCTTGGCTGCTCCCGCGATGCAAATCCCCCCCCCCGCCGAGGCCGACCGCTGCCTTGCTGAGCTGCTTAGCAAAAGGATGCCCAGCTGAGCCTCACCAGGTATAAACCTCACCGCACGTCACTGTTGGATAGCTACCACCCACTCCGACCTCTCCGTCCCCTGTCTGCTTGCTTATGGCCTCAATCGGGACCAAGCTCTCAGCACCGCCTGGTCTCCACCCGCTCTGCCAGGAGGGTGAAGAGCCCTCAGGAGGCACCATGGCCAAGAGATGCCCCAGCAGCAGCTGGGCCAGCAAGCAGGGCAGGTGGAGGCTGGGGCATGCTGAGAACGTGGCCCGTTGCAGCCATGGGAAGGCAGATAGTGGGACAGGGAGGGCAGGGCTAGCAGTAGCTGCACTCCCACTTCCGTCGGCCCCCGTGCTCGCTGCCTCCTGCACTTAGAAAAAATAAGACCTCCCCAAAAATAAGCCCCAGTGCTTATTTTCAAGCCCCCTAAAAAATAATTATTGTACTAAATATCCATATTCTTAAACTGTTTTCCATGTAAACTGAAACTATTATAAGAAAAGAGACAGAAAGTGAGGAAAACATAGAGGGTTATGTTGAATTTCCTGGAAAGGGGGGGGGAGGAAAATATAAATAAATCAAGGCTCTTGTATGCTGCCCCTCTCCAGTGGGAGGCTGGACCTCTTCAGACCATTCACCCCGGCAATAGATGGATCCTGGTGGATGACGGAGGAAACGGGGGATATCTCTGAGTTGCTGCTGCACAGTCCTGCGGGAGCTGCGGTGGCAGCTGGAATTTACTGGTGGTCATAACTTTGGACAGGATCACGCCATGCGGCCTCTCTTGACACATGATGGCTCCCCAGTCTCCCCATGGTTTACAAAGGAGCTGTGGGTTCTGAAAAGGGCCAAGAGATGGAGGAAAACAAGGGATGACTCTGGCTGGACATGCCTTTAGAGGCACTATTAAGGCCTCCCTGGGGGCAATAAGAGGGGCGAGACAGCAGCATTTCTCCATTCTTACTGCATCCTCAGAGTGGCACCTAGAGGCCCTCTTCCAGCTCACCCGTCCCCTCCTAGGTCAGCCGGGCTCAGGTGATCTTTTGCAGGGCCAAGCAGAGAACCTGATGGACAAAGTTGCTCAGATGCATTTCCAGTTGGACCCCGTGCATGGAGATAGGCCATGTTGTGAGATGCCTGGGGAGAGGTCTTGCCTTGTTACCTGGGAACAGTTTGATCCAGTTGGACCTGATGAAGTGTGCAGGGCCTTTGATGCTATCAGTGCCACCACCTGTCAGTTAGATCTTTGTCCCTCCAAGATGGTGACTAGTGGATGCGTCTAGACAGTAATTAATACTAGAACAGAGGACAATTCTGGATGCTTTAAAGCAAGCCCTGGTTTTCCCCCGCCTTTAAAAACCATGTAAAACTGTGTATTCTGACACTTGATAGTTTTCTTCCATTTCCATGGTCATTCAGTTTTAATATGGGATATAGGCAGGGATAAAATCTACTTACCTTCGCTACCGGTTCACAAACGTGAGCGCACGCATCACAGGACCTTCTGCACATGTGCAGAGCGACAAAAACAGTTGTGATGATGTGTGGGTGGATGGGCGGGAAAAGCAGGAAATCTTGCTTTCTAGCTAATATAAATCATGCATCACAGCTGATCATCGGAAATAGCGGTTCACCCAAACCAGTAGCATTTTTTTTACTACCTGTTTGGGCAAACTGCTTTTTGTACTACCGGTTTGGGTGAACTGGTCCGAACCGGTAGCATTTCCCCCCTGGATACAGGGATTCAAAAGAATGTTGACTATCATGTTTATTACTTATGGTTGCCTTGAAATTGTAGTTGACCATTTGGTTTCTCTGTGTGTTTAGGAATTACAATCAGACCACGGATGCTTTGGTTGCTTCGATGTTCTCTTTTCCTGGAATAGATAATATCTGGCTAAGCAGAAGTAATTTGTAAGTAGCTCTTCTCCATTTGTAAGTAACTCTCAGAAAAACAGAATAATAACCTCCTTCCTACTTTCAGCAACTCCTCATCTAAGAAGACAAATGACTGAGAATTATGAGTCACCAGGGTAATCTGCAGAACTATTATACCCGTTATAATCATTGGAAAATATTCTAGCAACAACCAGATAGTGATTTCTATCAAAATTTGGTGCAATTAAATATCCAGTAGTAAATATGCAATATTCTTCATCAAAATATCGAATCTAAATGTATAGGTCTCACCAGTGGTGGGATTCAAATAATTTACCAACCGGTTCTCTGTCCTAATGACCAGGTGGGTAGGCGGGGCTTAGTGGTCATGTGACCATGTGGGCGTGGCCAACTCAACACTACTCAGGTCGATGGACGCTTCGCCTTAGCTGTGACAATGTAATAGGGGTTAACCGGAGAGGCAGTTTCTGTAAGCAGGGCAATAAAGATGAGGCTAGAAAATACCACCAGAATGTTTCCTTCCTGCCTTCCTTACAGGATTAGCCCTGTAAAGTGGAAAAAAACCAAAAGAAGATTTCTTCCAACAACCGGTTCTCTGGACCTCTTAGAAAGTTAAGAACCGGTTCTCCTGAATAGTTGCGAACTGGCTGAATCCCACCACTGGGTCTCACTGATGTTAAGTGTTATCAAATTAAGATATTTTAGACTTGTTGTTGTTGTTAAACCTTGTGATTCAGCAGTAATGCAATATAAATTATTATTAACTAGAATAATTCAAAAATAAACCCAAGAACTTCAAACAGGCTAATACCTAAATTAACATGCACACTAAGCATATTTAAATATTTATTTATTTCCAATGAATGGAACTCGTTATGGTGTTAAGTAAGCATAGATATAGTCTTATTACAGATTCTAGTCAGAAGTAAATCCCATTGAATTATGCTTGATTGACAGAGGATAAAGTGCAGCTTTATCAATTTATAGTCACTGATGAAAGGGGAGGATTGAAATAGGAAGGTGTGAAGATTCTTGTCAGTAAGTTTTTAATGGAGTCTGTGAATTATGAAATTTAAATTACTTATTAATAAAGGAAGAGCGAAGGCAAGGATGCCAAATGGATTGAGAAAGGCTTTGTTTATCTTTTTCAAACTGTGCTAAATTTATTTTGCTTTTATTTTCCACATACCATAGTTTTTGTCTGTTTTCCACCACACAAAATGGCAAAAATTAGGCCTCTAATTTTCAGCAGTTGTTGGATGGGGCTCACAAAACCTACAAAAAAATGATATGTTGGCCCTTTTATTATTTATTTGTACATATACTGTAAGTATTTTTGTCTATTTTTCATTAAAATAATTGTGGCATGGGATTTTATGGGTAAACATGTATTAGACAGTCTCTCAGGCACAAGATTCCCTTTCAATATGTATTTTTAATTTAATATTATTGTAGATAGGTTTTGCTTATTAAAATGGTCTTATTAAAACTTTTCTACTCAAATTTTAGTATTAAATAAAAATATATGAGCGGAAAAATAGTTAAACCAGTAAGAACCAAGCGAAGATTATCAAATTTAGCTTCCCTTGGAAAAGCTTTAGGAAATTAATGAGGTATTCCTGCCTAGTGTTGTCCATTACCTAGTAAATTCCCACTATGCTGTATACAAATTTGTAGGAAATGTCAGTATTAAATCTGCTTACTTTCAGAACCCGTTTCAAGGAAGATGTGGCTGAAAAGTGGATATTCACTGGAAATCAGAGTGAGCAATATACTGCCTGCAATTGTACACTTAGAGGAGAGGTAAATTCAAATTATAATCTCATGCAATAAGATCACTGTAAAATAGAAATTTAAAAAAATGACTGAAGGTTTCCAGTGAAGACTAAATAAGTGATTTTTCCCCCAAGACTAAAGCCCAAGTTTAAGAAAAACAGATATCTTTAACATTTATATTTATAGAAGCTAATTTCCCAAGCTGCCAATTTTACCATATTTTCATTTAATAATAACACTTAACAATATGAATGGCATAGTAACTTATGGTTATAACTTGATTCTAGTAGAATCTTCCTTCACTTTCTCAAACATGAAAACTACAATGCCAGTCTTGGAGACCCAAACTAAATATAATGTTAATTTCTATTATCTAGCACTGATGATGTTACCTAGTTGGGTAATGGAATAACTGCACGAAAACAATCAAGTTCAGAGAAGCAAATTATCAGTTCTTCCTTTCTACGATTTTGAATAAAATTGTACAATTTTGAATACAATTGTAAAATTCTACAACATAGGAATAAAAGAACAAGCTGTTCTTAATTTTTTGTTTACTGCTTCAGTGTAGCATCACAAGAGTGGAACCATAAAGGGAAAGATAACAGCCAAGAGGAGTCTGTTTTGGTGTCAGAGGAGGATGGAGGGGGGGGAGATGGGGAGTAGGAAGGAGGAAACAATCCTTAAAAGAAGTATAAAACCAGGCACAGGTAGATGAGTCCACACAAGAGCCAGTCAGCTTTGTCTTCTCTGCCAGGTTGAGAAGGGCAGGAAGCCAAAGAGTGGCCTTGCAGCGCAATCAGGCCTGGAAGTTGCAATAGCAATAGCAATAGCAGTAGACTTATATACCGCTTCATAGGCCTTTCAAGCCTCTCTAAGCGGTTTACAGAGAGTCAGCATATTGCCCCCAACAATCTGGG